TTGTTTGTATGCTTGATACTGATTGTTGCTAATATACTTCGAATTTTCTTTTGGTGAGTAGAAAATTTTTTCATTACTTTTTTTTACAGTTTGCACTTCTTCAATTAAATAATCTCAACTGTGATTTTCAATTGGGAGTCAGTAATTTAGTTGTATGAACTAGTTAGTTATAAATTGAAAACAAAATGACTGGCAGTTTTTTCAAATTTTTTTTGCATTGTCGGGAAAACTAATATTTTGAAAAGCGAAGACATTTTTTTAAATGAACCTGTAATTTTGTATAGTTTCTTTTTTTAATTCATTTTTTTAGGTTTGGCAAACGATTTGAACTGGCCCTTCTTGCCCAAAGTGTAGTGATGTTGATATCTATGTTGTTAATGATGGAAATATCCGTAAGGATGAATCGTTTGCATGTTCATAAAGCACAGCATGTATCTGTTTGGAGTAATTTTTTCTTCATTTCATTTAACACTGTATTGTTGTGAGATAATCTTGTGGTGTCTTATATCTTTTTTTATATTCATGAAAGTGACTGTCAGAAAAAATTTTATAGTGGATGAACGATATATAAATATGAAGCAGTAAAATGCAATGTGATTTTGTTTTTTTCTTAAATCATTTTTTAAAGTAAAAAAGTTTTACTTTTTCCAGATTCTAAAGTTTTAATGCTTCATCGTTCCACATTCAAATTGCTTATGAATATTTGTAGACTAAAACGGTTTTGATAGCAGTGATTGTAATATAACTGATTTATTGCAGCTGGTCAATTAATAAGTCATTTTTGGCAGTGGGATGATCTCTCGAGTTATATTTTTCTAATATTTGTTTTCATTGCGTTTTGGTCGATACTTACGTGTTTTCTGAACGGGGTACTGTCATATTAATTATTTAAAATGTAAAATAACATTGTTTATAAAATTTCAATTCACCTGTTGTATATGGGATGAGTTATATCAGTTTTTAATATATTGTAGTTTTAGTTTATACTATATGTTGAAATTCTTGGTATATTTGCACTATTGTCTGAAGCGTGTCTCGGATTCCCTCAACTTAAGCAAAACTGTACAAGGCGTTCTACATCAGGAATGAGGTTGTTTAGTTTGCAGATATGTTTTTTTACCATTCATTATTAAATGACACTGTTTGTTTTTCTTTTTACATTGGAAAGCAAATTTACCTTTGCAAATGGATAATCAGTTTTTCCTTATTTTTTCATTTTTATTTAAAGGAAATTCGTAAATTTATAATTTGCTTAATTTTGCATGAAAGTATTTAGCATTGGGATGGTACTTATTTGGTTGATTGGAGATTGCTCTAAAACAGCTTATTTTATTTATGAAAATAGTCCATCGCAGTTTTGGTCGTGTGGAATAATACAGGTTAAAATTTGAAGTTTTTCTTCTTAATTTTAAACCTTCATATGTTTCATGCTGATAATAAATCCTAATTTTTTTAAATTATAAGGGCTTTTAAAATTTCGTTCATTGCGTAAAAGACTGCTATGTTTTTTCAGTCCCCACTATCTATTTTAAGCTGTATGCGATGTTTCTGGATGCTTAGCTTTAAAAATCATATCTGTGTTATTTCTAATGATTTTGCGTTGTTGTTTGCAGATTACAGTTGATGTATTAATAATGCTGCAAGTATACTTTTTTGGTAAAAAAGCTGCAAAAAGTCGACCTCAAATACAACAAGGAGATTAGCTGATATAAATGTCGTCAAATGAATGAATTTGCAATTTATTACACTGTAGCTTAAGTTGTAGATTTGTTCTGAAAATAATTTGTAAAAAATTACTAACAAACTTGTTGTAAACAAAGCAACTTTTTATCTATTCATTTTTGCTTTCAAGAAGAGATTTCCAAAATGCATATGTATTATTCATTTGCTTTTGTTGATGAATCAAATTTCTTGTGCTATCTATATAATTATTTGTCACGGGTACACCATTTTTTATGCTTTGAGTAACAGTATTTGGCATATACTAATTTTACATCTCTTTTTCTCAATATTGGCAGTTTTTTTGAAATAATTAATTCTAGTTATTTTTTAGATTTTTTATTGGGATAGTTTTTTCCATTGTTGCATGGTGCATTGTGCATTTAGTCTGCAGTATAACAGCGAATACAATTTTGATAGCAAAGATTTTTATATTGCTGCAAATTACAAAAGATAACGTTTTCTATCCTTCTTCGTAAATAAATTAGCCCAACAGCAAGCTGCTGTAAGGATAATAATTCAGTTGGTCTCGTACTAATGTAACTTTCTAGGATTACTTATTGTTTAATTTTGTTTATACTTGACTATTTGTTAATAATTTGTGTAGCTATTTTTATTCTTTTAAGTGATCTCTGATTTAATAATTGCCTTAATTATTTATTACAAATTTTTTTTTTACCCTTTTTCCATAATTTTACATAGTAGTAAGTGAGAATTACAATTTTTGCTCCAATAAACCACCGCAAATCAGTTTTTCGCATTTAAAATTATTTGAGATATTTTGTAAGTGACGTCAGTAATTCTTTAGCAAAAGTTGGAAAAATGGAAGAAATGAATGAATTTTAAAGTTTCTACTTTTTCAAATTCACTTGTCTATTATGGTATTTTCGGCTCTCCTTCTGTGATACATTACTTGGTCTTAAGGGCCATCTATTTATTTATTTGCTTGTTTGTTTGTTTATTTATGTCAGAGGTGTTCCTAAATTACTTCAAGCTAAAATAAATTGTACATTTCAGTTGCTTTGCATCTTATGAGAGATATTCCTTAGTCACATATTTTATTTTTTTAGCCAATTTTATTTAAAAACAACTTATTCTCTCTATAGCTGTGAAAATTATTTTGCCTAAAGATTCCACACGTTCTGCATACCAATTGAAGTTAATTTACGCCATGTTGTAAATTTCTTTTCAAGAGTAGTTATTATTCTTCGAACAAATTTTCAGGCAGTTCATTGGTAGCATTGAAACTTCAGCAGTATAATCGAAAATCATTATTTTTAAATTTCTTTTTATCCGTAATTTTTAAAGTTTCAAACTTGTCTCGATTTTTTTGGAACTGTTAAATAATGTATTTATTTATTGGGAACTGTTAGATACACTGAATAGTAATACTATGAAAGAATTCTTTCTTTCTCGTTTTCAACTATCCAAATTCTCATAGAAATATATTTATTTTTTCTCTTGTTTACTACGTTTTTTCGCTGAAGACGTAATTTAGAATTAATATTGGTAATGCAGAAGCGTAACAAAAGAAAATCGTAAAGAAATAAGAAATAAAATATGTGTCTGTTCACAATGAAAAATTTTTCAAATGCGATTGTGGTATTGAAGTAGAATCATTCCTCCACTTTGATTAATACTGCCAACGATATGAACTAATTGCATGTTATTCATCAGAATCAGAAATCACTATAGACTAATGAATTTACATTCAATCAAGAAGACGAAAGTAACAAAAATTTGAATAAAATTCAAAATCTTCAAAATAAATCATGTCATAGGATCATTCATGCATTTATAACTAGAAATAACTCATTTAAATGATTTTATGTAGAATGTTTTCAATGATAAAAGATTTGTGGTTTATTTTAGAGTTATGTAGGACGTGGCCCATCATGGTACTATTTTTTTTTCTTAACTGCGTAAAAGTTGAGACTTAAATACAGTAAATTTCATTAGAATCGTTAGGTTAATTTCGTCATATTATAACTATGACGAAATAAGTTACTGGCTGATGCATATACGTATTAACGTGAGTAGTGAAATAAAAAGATATCTGAAGTGTTTCTATTAACAAACAAATCGGAATCTTTTAAGTGAATATTGGACATTGAACAAAGTCAAAATTTCTTTGAAAATGGAAGTGCGTGGTCTATTTCTTCACTTAAAGCATAATTTTTGAAGAATAATACTTTTTATTAAAAATTATTTGATTTACTGATGCCAAAATTATGAAAATAATAATAATATAGAAATTTAAATGAGAAATGAGTGCCGGAATGCGATCCAGCGCTAGAATCACCAATACAGCGAAAGTTAGACTAACCTACAAATTTTATTTATTTAGAAATTGAATAATATCGAAATTGAATAATCAAATATACAAATTGAAGAATATTTTCACAACTGCGTCCGATATGCTTACAACTGCAGAAATTAATATAAACTTACATTGCAAATCTGACGATAAGATAAGAAAAGCATTTTATACTGACAGATGTTAAAGAATAGCATTATACTGTACTGCATAAAATGGACATTGTACGGAAAAAATTTGATGGGTGGCAAATATGAAAAATATATTTTCTTGACAAATGGTGCCTAATTTTAACCTTAGCAAACCCAGAACTGTCGTTAATTAGTAGAATAAACATGTTTTTGCTTCTAAGGAATGAATGCTTCTTATTTTTTTGTTACTCTTCAGAAGTTCTGCTTCATGCACAACGTTCTTGATCCCTTATAATGGATTTCATTTAAACCTTTTAGCAGAATACAGAATCTGTATGCTGAAAAGCGCAGAAGATCGAAACTTGTTGGAAGCAATAATTCCCCTGTTTACTATCATTTGTACCACAATACAAACCCAAATATTGTAAAGACGTGAGAAGTAATTTTACTGCATATAAAAACGAAAAAAACACATCATCAAATACTTCGTACTGCCTTATTCGCTGAAACGAAGTCTTTTTCATCTATTGTTCTCCAAATTATCGCAGTTTCAAAATTTATTATTCTTTGCAATGTATCACTCCATTTGCACTGCATACGCAACAGAAAGATAGAAGGCAAAAGATAAAGAATTGTTTTCAAGAGAAAAATCCCACAGCATTTCTCAATAAATGTGAAAGCTATTGATACTTTTGAATCAGCCATAGATTGAATTCACAAAAGTTTTGTTAGCACTAAATTCTCAGCCTTGTTATCAGTAAACAAATGGCATAATAGGAATGCACTGTTTTCAGACTGCAATGAAAGGTACTTAAATTAATCAATTTTAATAATTATGTTTCAACTTCTTCTCTCATTAGCTTATATGACAAAAGCACATGTTTTAAAATACCAGGGCAGATAGCCACCGCTTAAATATGTTTATTGTAATACTTTCACAACTTTTCAAACATTAAAATAGATATATATTATTGCATATGGGTCAGGTTAAGTAATCATTCTAACAATGTCACCAAACACACTCATTATACATATTGCTATGGTTGTCTCTTTGTTGAAAGTCATAAATCAAACTGAAAGAATTGGCTACTTGCTTGCTAAACGTTGCTTACTTCACGATTTATGACTTCTCTAAAATCTTTAAGCTTTTTAGCATTAAAATGTTGACAACAATCAGTTTCACAGAATGAATATACATGAAAGAAATGGCTAATATTTAGAAGAAAAGAAGAATTTTGGAAACAAATAAGATGCATACAGCTTTGATTTCCAATCACTTATTTTTTCCATTTTACATTTATTGCTAATACCATCACATTCTATTTTTTTTTGCTCATTTGGCATTCTTAACTCATCTTTAGCGTTATGGAAACTGAAGAAAACAAATGATTTACTTCACAAGAATAACTAAACTATATCATTACTAAATTTCAGTTTGCGGCAGCAGACAATTTTTTACTTTTTTTTTGCTTCCATATTTATCGCGTGCTTTTGAACATTTGAAGTAGGCAATGTGTTGTATGCTTTACATTCAATCAATTTTATTTGCCAAAACTGCAAAAGATACGGTTAGTTTAGTAGCTTAGTACTTTGTATCAGAATACTAGATTAATCAAAATTTTTCAATTTCAAAGAAATCCTTTTATTATATTTTTCTTTGCTAGCCTAATTTATTATTTTAGAATTTTCGATTTTCATTATTCACCGGAACAAATTATTTACTTGAACTGATACTTGACACAATTTAAAAATTATTGTTTATTTTCACATAAATTGACAGTTATAGTCACTTTAATTTTTAGACAATTTAATTTTTTATACAAATTTGTCGAAATGTATTTAAATACTTCACAGTCATTACTCTGAGAGGTTTAACGCATTATGTAGGGACGAATTTTTAACTTTTTTTTTGCACATTTGTTATTTTATTGCAAGATAACAAATCTGTCGCTAGTTGATTTTTCATGCCTTAAACTTGGACATATTGCATTATATTGTAGTCAAAAGTAACCGAAGAAAAGCAGGAAAATTTCGTGCCCAACTGTTGATAGTATGTTATAAATTCAGTACAGTCAACAAAATATGTCATTTTTTCACCGTTTTCTACGATAAAAGCTTATCAAATAATAATATTCGTCATGATCCTCTCTTCGTTATCAGTCAAGTTAGGAAGGAGATGCAAAGATGTAAAAGAGCGGAACAGTTGATGAAGCTGCTATAAACACTCCTCTACGCTTACAATTTTGTCATTTATCATTTTCATTTCTTATTTGTTCATTACTGTTTCTGATCATTAAGAAACGTTTTCTCAATATTTCACTTAACACTTTTTAAATTGTCGTAAAGTAATCTCGTTATATTTCTAATTATTTGAATATAATTAATTTTGAAAATTGGCTTATTAGTATAGACATATATATAATTATCCAGAGATTGGGATTCCGAATATTACGTTTAGACAATATTGTACATCTGTATCTAAAAATCATTTTTGTTACATGTACTGATGTCTTATGATTTTACCATTTTACTCGATTAGTTTGACCGCTCGTTAATAAATTGTATATGTAATTATTTTACTTGTTTTCTTTGCTATTTACCTACTTATAGATATATTGTAAAAACACATCATTTCATTATGTCTAAAGTTATTTGCCACCTTTTTTTGTTACTACTTAAGGGAATATGTAACCTAAAAACAACACTTCGTTTCTACGGATGAGTGACCTTTTTGTTGAAAAACATTTTCTTTTTCTGATATTTCAGTGATTTCGTTTTGATTACAATCATTTTTTCGACATTACCATTATTTTTTTTATAACAGCTATTATTGATGAGTGTTGAAATGAAAAAGGAAAGAATACGGATAATGGTTGTAAGAGGTGACTAGCCAAACATGTTATTCAGGTAGACATATTTTCAGAACAATATTTTGCAAAAAAAATCGTTTTTCAGGACAAAAAAGAAACGATAAGCAACAACTCTTCCATGGAAACAAGAATTACTATTAAATATTCTCTGCCTGGTTGTTGGCTGCAAGCTATTTGTTAGAAGTAATTCAGTTCAACTTTTCATCAGTTTTTGCTATTTGTATATGCTCTGAAATTAGTCAATCTATTTATATTTTAACTTTTTATCTCTTATATTTACTTATTTGTGATTTATTTTGGTCTGTAATGTGAGGATCAGTATTAGACTGAAAATATTACTAATAAAATTCAAAATTTTTTAAATAAGCAGAACTTTGAGATTAAGTAGGAGGAAGATGAGCTAATTGTTTTACCGTTTTGTTAAGCCTAAGCATGCAAGTATGTTTTCACTTTCTTGGCACTTACAAATCGTATCTTAAAATTATCTCATTATTCATACAGTTAATTATTTCTGTATGAATAATGAGACAGTTTTAAGATACAATTTTGTATAATGAGATAGGTTTAAGATACGATTTGTAAGTGCAAAAGTGTATTTATGGGTTAGTAAAGTAAGCATATGAAATGTTTGCTCAACATTCTATGGTTTTTCGATCATAAAAAATGCAGCAAAAACGGTGTAGTTGAATGAATCGGTTGTTGACTCACTGCACTGCAATAAAGCATATCAACAAAGCATTTCTAGTTGAAGCGGTTACGCATGGCTTTGATACTACGAGCAGTTGCTGATCACATTATATGAGATATATGGTAAAGCACACATTCATTTATCTATTTGTAGCAATTGGAGATATTTTCTCATTCCAGATCTTGTAAGTGTGATAAGGAAAGGAATGAGTTAACTATAAATATGAGTTAACTATAGTTATGAGTTAACTATAGGTATAAGTGAACTATAGGTATGATTTAACTATAGGTATGTTATCCATGCTTCTGAAATTATAAGTAAAAACTTGAAAACTGTTTGCAATGAAAATGCCTTCATATCCTATTATAACTTCTTATGCTGTTGTTGCTAGTAGCAGATGTTATCCCATATGAGTCATTTATCCATCTATTCATTTATTCTCTCTCATTAAAGTGCCACTTCCATCTGCGGCATTATTAGGAGAGAAAAATGACGCCAGTTTAAGTGTACTGTTTATTAGTAAAAAGTGTAAGTATTATTCAGTTGTTTCTCCTGAGTTCAGTTCACCAAGCAACCAATTTGATTGAAAATTATTATTTTATACTAATTTCTGTTCTAGTCATCAATTTCTGTAATTATGAATACATTCAGACTTATGTCATTTCAGATTTGTGTTCATTGCTTATCGTTTAGATATTTCGGATGGAGAAAAGAGAAATTATACGGAGCAGCAAGAAATCACTATAATACTTGGAAGGAGTCTTTTTATTTGCATGGCAACAGATTTTCAGGATGTTCATTTATTCATTAATCTATCCATCTTCGCAGGTAAGTGATTGTACCAACTATCATCCTTTCTTCAATTACACACATGCACACACACGCACACACGCACACACACACACGCACACTTCCTCCTTCACGTTATTTCCTTTATTTTCATTTATTCAACAGTGAATCGTATCATTCCCAAAATTGCTGATCCCTTTTCTCATTTTACTGCTATTTTCAAAATTTATTAATATTATTGTCTATAATTTTACTTCAACACTTTCTGTATTCGCTCATTTAGGCATAATGGAAAAAGTTGAGAAGAAAGAAATATTTGCAAAAGCATTTTCAAATATCTATTGGCTTTCAAAACAAAGCAGTTATAAATAGCCAGATAATATGAATCTACCAGAAATGATACTGTCACGAAAGTGTGAAGGAATACGGATTTGCTAGTAATGCTTGCCTTTATTTCATTGAGAGTAACAATATTCCATGTGCTTGAAAAGATGGATTAGGTGTGAGTGTTACAGTACGCTTAATTCAGTACATATGATTGAGTGCAGTTAAGAGGTTGCATCTTAAAATGTTGCAAATAGCTTTCATTTGTGCTATGAAGAAACTGAATTTAAATATTTGCGCACTTATTCTTCTTTCATTCCCAGAATTTTAATGCTTTGCATATTCGTGAAACAATGCATCATAATTCTTAAATTTAAGAAAAGCGAGCACTGTCTGTATAATTCTGAAGGTATTCCTTTGAAATAAGTCCACTCATTTTAATATATTCTCTCAGAAAGCGATCTTCGAGGAAAATATATCTGAATGCATATTGCTATTATTGAATATTGAAAAATGTATATATACATATATCATTTTTTAATATTAAAGAAATATATATTCAGATATTGAGAGATATATCCTGTCTGGTTACTTATTTTGAGAGTCAGTGGTCATTTTTCTAGAAAGTTCTTCCAAGTTACTCTTTATGTTTGAGAGAGTCTCCGTCGTTATGGATGTAATAAATGAAATAAGGTTGCTTGCATAAGTGGGACTTAAAAATATGATGAAGTTTAGTCTTATATTTTAGGAGATTTATGTTTTACCAGAACTTTTTGGATTAACATAGAGGATAATTGTTTTTAACAAATTGCACAAGAAAATAAGTGGAGTCTAAGGAAAAATATGCAATATAGCATGCTGGGCTGTTTTTTGCACGAAGTTGGTGATGTTAATGAATGGTAGCGAGCAGATGCGGGTTGCGGGGAACCTGTTCTGGACCGCGTTGCACCAGTTCTTATAACATTCATTACTCATGCTGTACCTCGCTCACTTAGCAGTTAACAACTTCATGTGTCTCTTGCAGTCTTACATTGCAAGCCTTTGCCGATCACAATCAAAACCACCGCGGCATTGAGTGGTTGGAACAGAGCTGACTGTACTCCTTTATTCATTCCGCAGAGAGCTCTGTACTCGATGAATGGATGTATGGGTGGATCGGATGTATGGATGGACGTATGGATGGATAGATGAAAGGATGGATCCGGTTTTCTCCTTAAATTTTTTAAAATGCATGAAATCCAGTCTTCTTCATTAGGCATTGTTATTGGATAAGATTGAATGAAATAGATAGATGTTCGTTCAGGTTCATTCTTTCTTGTCCTCAATAAGGTGAGATATATATTTTCTTCTTTGCTGTTGCTGCAAGGAAGTCTTACCATTTATCATTGGCATCAACAAATTCTATCGTTAATAGTCATCTATAATTCTTACTGAGAACGACTGAATGAATTAATCGTTTCAGTCTTTTACGAGCAACAAAATGAGTACTGGATTGCTCGAATTCCATTTTTCTTTGTTATATGATTTAATTTCAGCTAGACATGTTTAGTCTCATATTGTCTTCATATTTCAGTGATTTGTTTAGATAATGATGAACGAATTATTGTAGCCAAAGAATAGCATTACGCTGCGTTAATTTTATAATATAAATCTAAAAATTTGATAATTTAAATTCTCAAAATTCAATACTTAAGTATAGAAGATTTATAATAATGTATAAGTTAGTGTTTAGTAAGTTTTTCATGTTGAGGATATTTTTCTCTGTGATCATTTGAATGGCACAAATGGATCACTGCCTAAATATCCGATTGGGCAGAGGATTGTTTTTTTATTTTGACAAGATTAATAGAGGAGATTATTTGCCAAATGAGTGAATGCTGTCTACTGCAGACAAAATTGTATCTGAATTTGCAGTGTATAAGTTAGAAAAGTTGAAGTTAATTAAAGTAACAAAATTATTTGAAACCTGTAGAAGTAGCAAAAGTTTTTGATGAAGTCAGATATTTGTGCAAATTTTTCAATTGATAATAGTAGAATTAAGTAAAAATTAGGAAAATTCAATGATTACTTTACTATGAAGGAACATGTTGATTCCTGTTTTTGCTACTGCGCCAACTTAATCATTGTTGCGTTTCCTGACGATTCCTTCATTGCTTTTTTACAATTTGCATGTTTGTTTTCTTTTGCCTTGCATAATCACGCATACTGATCAGTTGCTCCTGCTCAACATTTTTTTTTTGTGAAGTTGTTATTTGATTGCAATCTTCACACTCGTTCATTAGTTTAGTATGGAAAGAACTTTCTTTCATTTATTCATATTATTTGTTTTTATTCATTTGCATGGATATGATTTTTTTTAAATTTGTTTATCAATTGAAATTATGGAATATTTGTTTGTTTCTTATAATCCTTACTTGTACGACTTATTCGTTGCACATATCATCAGTAACTGCCGTTAAAAGTAAATTTATCGCTGTTTTGTATATTATCTGTCCCTAAATGACCCATCGTATTTCCATCAATGCAGTGAGCGATTTCTTTGGTTATCTAGCTGTATGAGTATTGCAAATTTTGTCATAAAGCTAGACGACCGGAGTAACAGCTTCTGTCAGCAATACCTCAACTATAAAGTCCACTGCACTTCATGTCAGAGTCTTTCTCTTAATCGAATGAATTATTTGTAATGTCGAGAATTGTGATACTTGTTTTCATCTTCAAATACTTTGTAACAATACTAGCAGAAAGTGTTGATTGTACTTACTACAAATGAAGCTTTTAAGTTTTTTGCATTATTAATTGTAATATTATTACTAACACTATTATCATTATTGCGCATACTTTTGTTATTCTTATAATCATGTCTATATTATTACAGTGAATCGAGCTGATTACGGATTCAGCAGAAAGCCATTAGTCGACATCGCATTATAAGTTTTATGTCGTTTTTGTTTATAAGAATGATTGTCTTACTTTATTGTTAAATTCACGTCAAGATTGTTGATTTCTTTTCTGACCAATATTTTCTCTCCACTTTGAAAAAAATAAAAAATTTATCTTTACAGAAATTCGAGAAATGTAATGAAGAATGGAAAGTTCGTTCGTTATTTTTATTCCTTCCACATTTTTCTACGTACGAAAAAACACATTCTGCTCATAATCATGCATCATTCGATTATAAATTTTTGTACTCGAAAAGCTCGAAAACTTGTACTTTGAACTGTGATGTAATATGATGCTTATGTCGGAGTGATCTGTAATTGTTCAGTGTTATTAACTGGTGATTCAAATAAATTACTGAGGTGTAGTAATTCTGTGATATGTTGTTTTTTATCATGTCCCATTGCTCACTGGGGGATGTGATAGCGGTAAATATTATCTTATTTCTGGCTTAATTAACTGATGCAAACTTGCACCATCATGCATCAATAATTTTTATTTATACCGACCAAAATGAACGTATAAATTTCCATTTTAGAGATATCTGCAGGTATAAGTGATTGTATTTGCTAAAGATCAAATTCTTGTGCGTGTAAATAAAGTATTTCATGTGATCATCACAATAAGACGCACATTTTCACTATAAAATATATGAGACATTATTTGGTGATGAGTATTTTTGATATTTGTTGCGAATGCACAATTTTGTGAAGTATGCAGGCTTCGCAAAAGAAAGATAATAAAATAATAAATCATAAATTTGCATATACTCGGTATAGTAGGAGAAGAATTTTCCTACATATCAGTAGGAAAGTTTTTTTGTTTGTGTTGATAATATGCGAAATCGGTATTGCGAGTCAATCATTTATGTACGTATACTTCAGGTAATTCTTCTGGGAAATGGTAATAAAGCACTAATTGTATAACAGGCATGAAATTTCCTTCGGATGTATAACTGCATGATCAGATAAATTATGAATAATATTGGGTTAATTGATCGTAAAGAATAAATTAATTATGATACATCAGTCCTTACACTAACTGTTATCAGAGTAATAACGAATTCTAAGTGAACAGTAAGTAATAGCATTTGTAAGTTACTATTATATTGGAAGATTTGTTTTGATTGATGAACTATAACCATTTCATATCTCATTTCTTTAAGAAATCAATTACTTAAGAAAAGTCAGTTAGCCATCTGTACTCGGAATCCATATCTTTTAGCTCTATTTGAATTTGTTTGCAAACAGTGTTCTTTTCATTGGTTTATTGTCACAATGTTCTATTACTCAAATCACTGTCATATTGGTAACTGATTCTTCAGTGCATCTGAAATAATCATTTTCAAATCACTGTGGTCAGTTACAGAACTAGTGGTTTGTGTTACTTATGTAAATTATCTCTTCTTAATTTAAAAAATTGCACAAGCCTACACATTTCTGATGTAAATTGCACAGATACACATTTGCATCTATCAGTTTGTGTTTTAAAACATGCAATAAATTTAAATACACTTTTTAGTTCATTTATTTTAGCAAATGGCAGTACAGTGAATCTCATTGTATAATGAGAACGAGTATTTGATACAAAATTCGGTTATCACTTAGAATAGCTAATCCTCAAACGATCAATGTGTAAAATTCTTGCATCCGAATTCCAACGCTTCTTACTTTACTTTGTAAGGAAGACTTGATTAATATAGTTGGAATACCGATAACAATTTTAACACATCAAAAGAATATTATTAAAACTGAAATAATCCACAGAATGAGCAAGATTATAATAGATAACGACTGATTTGCTAGATTAATGGAGGGATCGTTTCTGTTTTTAGGTAATCTAATGAAATAATTCCGGACAAATTTTAATTTGAATTGCCCAAAAAAGAATTCTTGCAACTTTAATTGGATTAATTGTGAGATTTATTACGAGTGCATTCATAGAGCATGAAAATAAATTTGAAAAAAGGGAAATAATGCAGCTGCTATTTTGAGAGCCATTTTTATCAAAAATCCGTTAACAATTAATTATGTCAATATTTTTATGTTAAGCCATTTTATTTTCATCTCGAAGCAGAAAATGAGATATGTTAATTAATCTCAGCTAACTAGAATTAAACAATCCTCAAACACATATACTCATGTCATTACATCATTTTAGCATTCATAGCAAAAATCTGCCGATTACTATGGAAGTATAAATTTCCAAAACAAATGTTGTTAACACATGATTGCGTTTTATTTTTGAGATTTGAACTCCTGATGGCTTAAAGCAGGAAAGAATACATACTGAATAATTTAAATTTTTTGCAGAGCGAAAAATAGTAAAATACTGCAAGAGAAATAAATACATATATATGTAATTTTTATAGTGGTAGAATTGTTTTCTCTGTCTCATTTGTTCTTTTTTTGACTTAGAATGAAAAACAGTTTTAGCGTGTAATGAGAGGGGACTGATTGTTGTAAAAGTTTATTATTTTTTATTTTTCATGCTATAAAAATAAAGATAGAAAGCTGCCTGAATACATTTACGGAGCATTTATGAATATTAATTTTTTCATGGAAAAATCTTCTTCTTTTCTTCCTTGACTAGCATACTATTGCAATCTCAAATATTCTCAAGTAACATGACTTACATTTGAATTATGACTGAAAAATTGTACTTTATTCGAAATTCGACCTGATCTTGATATGATAATAGAAGGATTTCTAGATTTGTTTGAGGTCACTATCCGAACATATATTTTTTATGATCAGTCAATCAATCATCCAATCAATCAATCAATCCTTCTCATTGAGTGTTTATTTTTCATGTTGACTAGATTTTGTTATAACCACAATTTAGCCAATGAATGCTTCATTTGTTACTATGATCATCATTATGTCAAACATCTGTCAGTCAGCTGTTTCTTCAAAGCTATTTATAACTTTTTCTAAATTTCAATTGCATAAATTTCTGCAAACTGTTTTCGTTTGAATTCTAATGAAACTTTTTAACATTCTTTTAGGCTTTTTCAAATTTTTTGTGGTAGAATATTTGTATAAAATAGAATATTTATTGCATACTTTGGTGGTTAAAGTGGTGATCATAAATTTCTTTAAAATAAGCTAATTATAAAATCTTAAGTAAAAATACAAATTTTGAGAAGAATGACAAAATTGAAATTCTTAGTTAAGTCTTTAGCTAAGTTTAATTTTAATTCATTTCAGTTTAGTTTCAGTTCAGAATGAGCTATAACGTCAACTAGAGTTGAATGAATTGAATCAAATTTCATTCAGCTTTGGTTGACGTTAGCTCATTCTTTAGTGTCATAAAAAATTTTTATTCTTTATGATTTTTATTGATGGCTGATGAAATAGTTCCAGATGCCAATTTTTTTGAAGCATATAGTGCAAAATTTTTATTTTTCAGAATTCATTCCTGTGATTTATTCTATTTCAATCTTTCATACATCACTAATCTGTTTATTATAGCAAACCTTTTTATGAAATTTCTGCCGCTATGAAATGTTTGAGATTCTTGTCTGTACCAAAGCGTCAAAATTTTAACCGATGAATTTGAAATTAACACAATATAATGTGATCAGAAAAATATTTTACAGAGTACTTAATTATTAATTTCAAATGGCTATAATTTACTAGTAAGTATTCAGCACATTTTCTTACGGTAGAGTAAAGTATAGTAAGTTCAGAAATGAATGATAAAACAATCTTCGTCATATCATATCATCATCATTAGTTGAAAATAATAGTAAGTTTTGATAGAATTTTGATCGCACGAAATTTTGTTTTATTAGCAAACGATGCCTGTTTTCAATGTTGAATATAGGCTGAGCGCAGCTGTGAGTACTTAGTTTTGCTCAAATGAACGCACATATTTTAGATCCTTTTTATTCTGTCATTTTTGTTGAAATTTAACCCTGATTGACTGTATTGTATTCTATGACTCTGATAATATCTCTCTTCATTTATGAAAAAGTAACTTTCTCTGATCAATGCATTCTACTTCACTGCTCACTCTTGCATTGTAAGTCAGTTGTCGTAAAATTTCTAATTTTTTCGATCTGAATTTTTTTTATTTCTAAGCAGTATCAATACTAATGAAGACATCAATATTATTAACAGCTTTTTTAATCTTAACAGCTAAGTAATTCATCTAAAACTAAGCTTTTAAAATGGTTTATACCAGTTTTTGGAATGCTCATAAACGAAAATATAATTGAGTAGCGAAAATTGAAATAAAATCAAGAAAACCCGTTGTTACTATAAAAAATAGCACTACTACAATTTAATTTCTTACAATCATTCAATCGGTTAAATCAGTCAGTAAAATAGAGATTAATTAATTCCTAGCATAAAAAATGAACTGTATTCAAGCATCTACTTTGATCAGATCACATTTTTAGTCCTCTTTGTGAACAGCGCTTTCTTGAAATAAATTATATAATTGTATTCTTATTTTAAAATAAAATATTACAAATATAATACCTCTTCGTTATCATTTAAAAATTGACGTATTGTTATCTGTAAAAAATTAGTTTGCATTATATTTTTGATTAGATTGAAAGATTTAATTCTATCTAAGAACTTGGAAATAGCCTAATTTTTTTGTTAGCACCTAGTAATCAATCTGTACATAGCAATTTTCAGTGGGGCGTAGCAATGTTTTAAATCGAAAGAGTTAATTTCACTGCTCTCTTCGGGATTAACATTACTTCTATTCTATTATCTATATTAGTGTCGTCCATACTTAAGTCAGGTTAGATAATATTAGTAGTAGTTTAAAAGCACACATTTTGAAAAGTAATCTTTCATTTTCAAAGCCATCTTCGTAGATGAAAAAATTACTTCATGTGTAAATGCTTCCATTTTAACTCTCACAAACTAAATTAGATAGATATATTTGAGGACGGAATTTTCCTTTGCACATACATATTTTTGCATTCATATCATATCTATATGAAATTTTTTAAAACCCTTTTTAGCTTTATTACTTTAAATTAAAAATTATCGAAATTATTAAAAAATAAGTAGGACTGATTACATTATTCAAATATTGTTTGTCATTCATTCATTACTCAGTTATGCTTATTCATGTATTCACAACAAATTGTTATTGACCGTTAATTTGCCGCCAAAATTGGTGCATTTTTTCAATGACTGAAAATATCAAAGTATTGCCTGAATAATTATTTATATGACTGAAAAAGTTATTAAAGCATTAAAATTTGCAAAATTTTCACCTTTTTTTTATGAGAAAAAATTTGAAGCTTACAAAGTTCAATTTTTTCAGTAATATCTTAAAGATTCTGGAATATATATTTTCTTTTGGATTCCAAACATATCACTGATGCAATATGATAACTTCTAAGTCTTTTTATAAATGATACTTTAACACGACACGTACTTTTTCTGTTTTTTTTTTCAGAAATTCATCATTAAAACGAAGAAGAATACTCATTCATAACTGATTTATAACAAACTTCAATTTTGTTCATAAAATTAATGTTTTTCCGGAAATTTCTTATTATTGCTTGACCTCAAAGGTCAAGCAAAAAAGATGTCAAACAACTAATTTTATTTTGAAAGCATAAATTTATGGCCTAAATCATTTTCTGCTCTTATCTTCTACTAAAATTATTTTAGATCTGTGCATAATTGTTGACGTTTTTAATGAAAATACAAAATTTACTATATCTTTTCTGCTTTTGTATCACATTAACAGGATCTACGAAAATTTAAGATTATATCACTTTCTGTCATTTATTGTAATAGTTAAATTTTTTATCTTTCTACTAGTCAAAAACATTTTAGCTAAAACTGTTTTCGCTAAAATAATCTTGTCAGATATTCCTTCTACATATATTGGCGTAAAATGCAGAATTTTTTTCAAAAAACTTTTTTATATTCAAATTAATTCATTTATTTATGTTTGAATAGCCTTTTTGCTTACTTCATGCCATCATTGCTGTGAATTTATTCTTCATTTCTTTTAATTTTAGAATTGTTTGTTTTCAATTAAAATCTTTGCATGAATGAATTTTTAGTAACAAATTCAAGAAATATTATCTTTCTCTTAAATAATCACAAAGACAATAACTTACTCGAAATAACAACGAATCAAAGTATCGGTTTTATATTTTTTGCCTATATTAAGTTTGCTGCGCTGTTTTGTGTTTCAAAATATAACAACAGAAAATGCTACTATTAGAGCAGAAAATAGATATTCAATTAAGAATAAAGCAAAAAACTAAAAAAGTAAGTAACATATTAAATTAATAAAGTACCACAAAAAGTATGAACAAATTATTTAGTTGACAATTTACTTATTTTTACTCATTGCTCCTTTTATCACACTGTCAGTATGAAATAAAATTTTATTAAAAAGATTTTTAATTTGAATATTCACTTAAGGAGTTTAAAGTTCATTTTTTTTAATATTTGCAACAAATATAAAGTCAAGTTTAGAAGAGCACTTTTATGTGCTTCTAATTAGCTGTAAAGACAAAAAGTTAAAACATCACAAATGAAAAAAAATTCAAAAATGATGTCCAATATGCTAAAATGATTTTATATCTCAGCCCTTACCTCATTATAATATTGATCATTTTTAGCTGATTGTTTGCATAAATGTAATTACTATAATTAAAGCACTGTCAGAAAAATTATATCTAAGAATGGTAATGAATGCCATGAAAATAGCCGAGCAATCATTCAGTGTGATAAATTTATATTTGAAATTTTTTCATACTAACTTTACATTTGGCAAAGTAATAAAAGAAATTAATTATTTTCAATGACATTTTTTTAAAGGTTTTTCTTGCTATGAAGTTATTGAATAGTATTGTTTTCAGATATTTTTTTTCTTTTTTAATTTTTACATGAAAAATGTGTTTTGTAAAGGAAAATACTGTGGTTAAAAGGTATGAAATACAGAGTTAATCTCAGTCTATCTGCTAGTTGCCTTTTTTGGCTTAATGCAAAAAGTAAGCATTCAAAAATTTATGAATTAAAAAAATTTTTGTTCGATTTTTTCACAGCGACTTTTTTATTAATACTGTATTGCTTACTTATAGATTTCTATGAGTTCGTTGCTTTCAAGAAGTGTCTTCAAAAGAGACGCACATAGAAAAAAACAATGTTCAAAACTTCGAGATCGAAACGATACTTCTTCAGATGATGATTCTATCAGTTTGTCATCTACATCCACTCTTCAGGTAACAACCTTCGCATACATTTTGAACATTCTCAACTTAAGGATAACATTTGTTTTCAGAAAAACCGAATAATTTTGTGTATCATTTCAAATTTTTTACAGGATAAAATAAGCTAATGGTTTAGTGAAACTTTTCAAAAAAGATAAACAAAAATCCAAACGTAAATGCGATCTGATATGTTAAAATTTTGTGATCATATTTTTACAGAACCTTTTTATTATTATAGTAGATTTGAACATGATTTACAAGTCAAAAAAATAATACTGTGCTTTATTATTATTATTAATAAAATAATTAGGATTAAAAAATATGTGCAAGTTTTTTGTTGTATTGCAGTTTGCAAACGATGGAGAAAACAAAAGTGAAGTGAATGACACGAAGCAAGCTATGTATGTAACGTTTTCAGTCAAGATTCATTTATTACAAGGACACAATTTGGTAATTCGAGATGCATCAGGTTCATTTATATAATAATCACTGAAGAATATTTATATCCTCTAGCATGTTTATTTAAGAATCACAATATTCAACAAAGCAGAAACTTGCAGGAAGCAGTGACCCATATGTCAAATTTAAGTACAAAGGTCGAACCTATTACAAAAGTTCAATAATTTTTAAAAATTTAAATCCAATTTGGAAAGAGGAATTTACGTTTTTGGTAGATGATATTACTGTACCAATTTGTTTGGATGTTTATGATTACGATCGTTGGGCAAGTGATGATTACATGGGTGGTGCAATAATTGATCTTAGTCAATTAAAATTTTTTCAGTAAGTAAAAAATTTTAACGATTATTATACAGTTTAAAAAACTGCAAAAAAGTTTGCATTATGAATTAAATTATTGATAATTAATTTATTTTAATAATGTAATAAATTTAGAAGGTTAGCGCTTAAATTAAAACTTTACGAAGAGGGCAATAATGAAGATATGGGTGAAATCGACATTGTTGTTAGCATCTTTCCCTTAAATGAAAACGGCAAAGAAGAGGTAATCTTCGAACATATTACAGAATAAAAATTATTGTTTAGAATTCATAGATTGAAATTTTTATATTTAAAAAATTTGTTTATATTATTATCTTTAATTTATCCAATTAAAGTTCTTGAAAAAATCAACGCGTGGAATAATTTGTGAGCGACAAAAGAAAACACCACAAAAAAGTATATTATTTTAATTCAGTTTATTTTTTCCAAACTTTTTTACTTTAAAAAAAATTTTAATAATTTAACTAATTTTAGTAGTCTGAAATTCATCAATTTTCAAGATTACTATTGTATATGATTGTGCTAAATTCTCTTTCTTTGTAGTTACACAAATTTGGTCATCAATCGTAAATATTGTATTAATAGAAGGAAGAAATTTAGCATCACCAAATGCTTCTAAATACACTTTTCCAGATTTATTTGTAAAATTCAAGCTTGGAAGCGAAAAATACAAAAGCAAAGTTTGTTGCTTTTAGTACTTCAGTAATTCTTGAATAATTATTTGTACTTATTGCTAGTTAGTAGATTGAAAATCGAATAAATTTCGAGTTTGTCTAGCTTTGTTTAATAAATTAATACAAGACCAGCTAAAGCATATTAGATACAAAGTATATATATGGGCAACTATATTCTTTGAATACTAGAAAATTGTTTAATATTTGTGAATGCAAACATTTTTCAGTCTGTTTTACGGAATAACAATCCTAAATGGTTGGAACAGTTTGATTTACATATGTTTGATGATTCTAAACATTTACTGGAGATGATGGTAATTGATAAGAAAACAAATACAAGTATTGGAAGGTTCGTAAGTATTTTTGTATATTGAATACAAAACTGATATATTTAATAAAGAGAGTAAAATATTTTACAAAATATAACTTTATCGGTAATTTCAAATTTAATTCATAACTTATTAATTAAGAAAAACTTGATCTATTTCAGTTATATGAATCACCACAAATGAAATTATTATTTTATACATTAAATAGAATGCATTTTTAGAAAGTTTTGAATCGAAATTATCTAATTTCCAGATATAGTATAGATTTGGATAAGCTGGAAAAAGAAACTTCTCATCAAATGGCTTGCGAATTGGATCATAGCGTTGGTAAGAAGCCTCACAGACTTTGCATAAATTTGAAATACAAATTAAAATTAAACAAAATACAAGGAAATAATCAAAATTATTTACTTAATTGCTACAAATTGTTTAGGTACAATATTATTGTTAATCTCAATTACGGGTACAGCATCCACTCATGCGGTTACTGACCTGTCCGAATATTCCAATATTAATATCAGAAGTGCTAACATCAAAAAATATGTTCGCTTTTTTTGGGAACTCTAATTAAGATAAAAAAAAATTTATTGATTCTATCGTATATAAAATGTCACTTATGTTTATTAAAGTTATTATTTTTGTTTGTGTGAAAAAATGAATAAAATATTCCAGTAAAACAATTTAAAAAAATTTTTATTTTACATCTATATGTAAGACGGCAATCAATCCTAATTTGTAACTGTCTGTATATTTTAAAAAATGAAAATTAATGGAAAACTTACAGAGCTTATGGAAAACGCATGAGTCCCTTACAGATGTTGGATTTTTAACTGTAAAAGGTAAATATTTTTAACTCCTGTTTTTAACTAAATACTGAATATTATAACGAAAACGAATTGATTTGATTTATAAATTGTAACAGTATTGTATTTTTACAGTGTTTCGGGCACGAAATTTAGCATCTATTGATGTAATTAACAAAAGTAATCCATATGTTGTCGTGGAATTAGTAAATGCATTATTGCAAACTCATACTGAATATAAAACGATTAATCCTGAATGGAATAAGCTTTTTACATTGTATGCCTTTCATTTTATTTTACCAAAATTTGTTTAAAATTAAAAAAAAAAAACTTGTATTAAAAATGTCGTACTTTTATCGTGTACTAATCAACTATGTTTTGTTCTTGTTTATTAATTCAGAAACAGTTTTCAAGCTTATCATAATTTTTTTGGAAAGAAGAAGTTCATTAAAAACTTTGATAAAAAGATTGGTGGCCTAACCTTCATGTGATTTTAATCTAATTAGCTTAATATGTTGAATAATGATCAAATTCCTAAAATAGTAATCAAATTTAGTGCTGTGAAAGATATTCATTCTACACTTGAAATTACGGTTTACGATGAAGATCCGAATAAGAAGGCTGAATTTCTAGGAAAAGTTGCAATTCCACTGCTGAAGGTATGATTTCAATACTTTGAAATGCTATTACTGAGCAGAAATAACATTTTAAAAATTGTGAAAACGAAAGGATAGGATCGGTTGCAAAGATTATTTACATGTATGTAAATTAATTTGAATATTACTTCCAATTAAAATATTACTTCCACACATTTAATTATGATAATCAGTTTTTGCTAAGATTCGAAATTGCGAATCAAAGTGGTATACTTTAAAAGACCGCAAGCTACAGGCGCCAGCTAAGGGTCAAGTGTTACTTGAAATGGATATCATTTGGAATCCTGTAAGTTATAAAACAGGTCAAATTCATCAGTTAAAAATTTTCATCTTTATATTTTAATAAATTTAGTACATAAATTAATATTTGTTCAAATGGATAAAAAAATGTTGAAAACATAGCAGTTTTGCATAATAACTAAACTACTTTTGCAAATTGAAAAAATACTTTTTTTAAATAACAAAAGCCAAATAAAAAATTAACTATTAGGCATTCTCTCTTGCATTCTTTATTTCATTTTCATCTGTTATTTTAATTTTCGCAGATACGTGCAGCCTTGCGCACGTTTAATCCACGTGAACGAAAATATATGCAAGAGGAACCAAAATTTAAAAGGCGTTTGTTTATCAACAATTTTACAAGGTTTCCGTTTAGTTTTGTTGTGTCATAGATTCAAGCAGCACCTTAACACTAACATCCGAGTACTAATCATTTGTTGACTAATTATAATAAAAGTATTTATTAAAATTTTTTGGAAAATCAGCTTGAAATTCATTTTCAAATGTTTCTGCGATTCGCGTGAGTCTGGAAAATGTTTGCACGCTACTAGAAAGTACCACTCATCCTTTCAGCTTGCATTATTAAAGTGGATAAAATATAATTTAAAATTTACCTTTTTTACATAAAAAAGCAAAATAAATAAGTTTGATTTGTTTTTGCAGGCTAAGAGAATTTTTATTGACTGTTGCGCAAATTCGAGATTACATACAAAGTTGCTTTGACTGGGATTCACCAATGCGTTCTTTACTTGCATTTATGGTAACTAAACTTTCTACTTAATGACATTTCAAGTATAAATAATTACAATTTGACTTATGTATATACTTTGATTAATATGAAATACGAATAAAAATATGAATAAATAATTATTATATCACTTTAGATAATGAAAAATAAATTATTAATTTCAATCATCAATTTATGCATTTTTACTTCGCTCAATTTTGATTTGTAACTTTTTTAGTAACAAAATTTTACTGCGAATTCTTACTCCATTAATCAGTTATTTTTTCAGTTATTTGTGACTTTTATAAATTACTTCCAAATATATCACATTCCACTTCTTATACTGCTTATCTTCTTCCTTCAACCATTCACTATGCAACGTGGAAAGCAAAAACTTTCTAGGAAGAATAGCAACATTAAATTAGCTTCTGGTTCTGAAGATGAATACGAAACTATCGATATGGTTGGTATTAAAATCATTATCATTTTATGCAATTACTTCATTTAGTTGCAAATTTTCAGAGATAGCTTTAAAAAAAATCAGCATAAATTCAATGACTAATAAGTGAATTTAATATTTGAAAGAAGCTTATTAAAGTTTATTAAAAATCAGTATAGTCAGCTGATAATATTTATGCATCATAACTAAGTCATTAATATCAATTTTGTTTCTTTCTTTTTTTCTGACTTAATGGTAAATAAATTTTTGGTGAAAAGTTGTTTTTTTATAACTATTATGCCAACTTTTTATTCTCCTCACATCGGACAATTAGTGAATAAATCGTCTTCAATTCGCCAACGATTCAATACTTTGCAAGATGCAATGGTAGAAGTACAAAATACTGCTGATTTTATTGCGTCACTTTTGGAACGAATTCGCAAGTAATTATTATCACTCATAATAACATTAATAATAGTAAATATATTAATTATACTAATAATTAATAATATTACTTTTAATACTAATAATTCTCAATTGCTAGCAGTTTAATTAACAAAAAAGTGATTAAAATGTTGAAAATGACTTGAAATATGATTTAAAAACTTGGGTAAATAATTTACTTCTGAAGTTTATTAATTATTTTTAATCATATCAAAATGAATAATACATTTGCTCTTGCTTTAGCACATTTAATTTCACTCAGCCTTACCTATCAGTCTTGGCTATAGTGGTACTTAGCATTGCTACTATTTTGCTCTATTTGGTACCATTAAGGTGGCTTGTTATGATCTGGGGTGAGTGAATTGTTAGCAATTTTACAAATTTTAATTTTACATTACTTAATATTAATTTTTAATAATCCAAATGATTGATGCTTGCTTAAAGATAAAGGATAATAGGTACTATGTAGGATAATAATAACTACTTACATAGTTATTATTATCCTTTGATCAATCATTATCGCTACTAATCATATTACTTTAAGCCTTACTTTGTAGCATTTTTATATTTTATTTATTTATTGATAATTGAACTGAAATCGAATCTTATCCAGTTAATATATCAGGAATCAACAAGTTCACCAGGAAACTGCGTAATCCAAATCTGATTCCAAATAACAAACTTCTTGACTTTCTCTCGCGCGTTCCAAGCGACAATGAAATTGTTTGCAATTTTCTTCTCTTTAGATTATGACTATTGCTTAAATACCACTTTTTCATGCAAAAATACATCGGTTCATAGTTCAAAACTGGACGAAACTTATTGAAACTTTTTCAAGCAAATACTAATTAAGAAAGTTTAAGTATTAGTTCTCAAGACAAATAGTAACTTTTGCTTGTTGTAGTCTGAATTCTTGAACTTGAAATATAAATATTGTTGAAATATAAATACAATTTTACTAATTTACAGAGAGCATATAAAGAATTTCCGGTGTTAGATGTGGATGAAACCTCTCAGACGATCCACGCTCGTTCTGAGGAAATTTGATGGCAGTAAGTCTCAACAGTTTACGTGGTACTGATTTTTATAAATTTGCTCTCATCAAGGCAAATTTCTCTTTTGTAACCTGTTATGACTATATAAATTTATTCATTCTTTTATTCTCGTGGCTTTCTTTACATACATTATTTGAACGGATAGAACTCAAATTGTACCTGAACTTTAAGGTCAAGTATCACAAAAGATTTATCTTATCTACTCTGATATTAAACAAGAACAACAGAAGAAAAATAAGCATTTCAAATATATTGACAATTTTCGAGTATAATTATCGAATTCTACGTTTTTTTTATTTTTTGAATAGATTCGTTTATTTATAATATTTACTAACATTCCATTTTTAGCACAGTTCTTGACAGTTGTATGCATATTTGTGCTGACTCAAAATTTTGTATTCACTTTTGAAAGTAGTTGAATTGTTTGACATGTTCAATAAAGTAAACTAAGCTGAAAAATTATCATCGGAAATAAGGCAAAAATGCTTATTCTAAAATAAACTTCCAGGGATTATATTATTGTGCTTAAAAGTTGAAGTATTGTTCAGATTACTTTTTCACTAAAACTCTGAAGTAGAACTTTGAACTTTCACTATTCTTTTTCCAGGTCATAGACGATAAAGTTCTGTACTTCTTAACGTGACATTTCTGTAGCAATAAACTGTGTAAATACTGAATTAGTCATTCATTTTAGTGGACTGATTTTTGCACAAATTCTAACAATTTTAACATTTTCAAGTGTAAAATTGAAACTTTAACACAATATGATATCGCTGAAAAGCATTGAAAAACATATCACTCAAAAAATAAACAGATGTAATTTACATTCAGAAATAGCTAATACATAAAGAGTTATCCAAAAATTTTGTGGGATAATTTTTTGTAAGTTATTCAAAAAAGTAAGACAACAATGTAATGTGAATATTATTTTTGAGGGAAATATTTAATAAATACAAAATTTCAATTGTGAATCATTTCAAAAACTTTTTTCATCTTTAGCCTAGTCAATCAATGCATAAAAATGTTTACTAAATACATAATTAAATATTAATTTTGCGTTCGTATTAATTTCGTTTAATAGTGAGCAGTTAAGAAGTAGAAAAAGTAGGGTGATATAAATCGAATAAGTCACTCTCACGACGTCGAGATAATGTAGATGTAAGTAATGAAGGTGGATAATGTCGTGATGGAACGGAAAATAGTGTTGGTACAATTGAAGGTGATGTTGATCGACGGTATGAAGGAAATGATGAAGATGATGAACTTGAAGGAGTGCCAAATGTTCTAAAAAAGGCTTTAAAAAATTTTGATAAGAAATTATCCAAAAATAATACAAAGTTTTAATGTAAAAAAATTAAAAGCATTTTGAATAAGTTATTCAGAGATAATTATTTTGATAAAAAATATTTCCATTTTTTTGAAAAGAAAAAAATTCATTTTGCATTTATTCAATTCAATTTCAAATTGTTAGGTTACTTTTTAGAAATGAAAATAATTACTGACGATGAGTTATGTGAATATTTGAAGGGAATTTGGGTAATTGAGATATTTCGTGAAGTACTTTTAGGTGATATATGATTCTGAACCCATCTTCGTTTTAACTCAGAGCAATATACGTCAGGTATAGCTGTACCATCATAAGTTGCTTCAATCATTTGTACCGAATTTACACCTAAAAATTTTTAATTAATTAAAGTTTTACCTTCTGCAAATTATAATTTTGTTATAAAAGCAATTCATTTGAATGATAAGAAAAGATAGCATAAAAATTCTACTGAAAATGCTGGCAATAAGAGTAGAATTACCATTGAAAATGAAGTTATTTTGGTGTTTATCACTTTTTTAAAACTGAAAATTAAACTAAATTGGGCACGAGAATTATTTCCTTCAGAGTACGTAAAAATTTATCTTTTAAATAGTAATATCTAACCTTTTAATTTACGTTCATAATCAATCATTTGTCTCCAAAAACCTAAATTAGGCCTGATAACAGGTCGAGCAGATTTCACGTAATGATATGCCTGACGTAATGTCATTCCTTCATGTTTTACCAAATAAATTACACATAAAGTAGCTGATCGAGAAACTCCCGCTACACAATGCACCAAAGTCCGACCACCTCTGTCCTGAAAACTATTCTATCAAAGTTTGGAATAATTATCAAATACTAGTACAGAAGTGAAAAAAAATCAAAGAGTAAGCAAAACATCACAATGTTTTAAAAATATTTTACAAATAAAATTGCAAAATTATAAATATCTCTCATCTTATTTCAAGAATACAAATGGGTCACTGAAATTATACTTAACTAAAATTATTTTCAGAACAGTCAAGGTCAAAAAAAGGTTACGCCACATAAAAGAGGGACAAAAAAATACAGGAAGGAATGTTTTTTTAACCTTTATCTCTTTGATCTTATCAGCAACAATATCAAAATACTGATTGATCATCGCATATGGACTATCTTCTATTGAGATCTTCAGATATTCAATCCCTTGAAATCAACTTTTTAGTATTCACTTATAATAGCTGCAAAAAGTAGAAGAAATTTAGTGAAAAAAGTTTTGAGTATTGTAGAAATTACGAATGAATAATAGATTAAAAAAAATTTTTTATCAGAATAAAAAATTGTATGACTGAAATAGTTTGAATGTAAAGAAAGTTCAGTTTTATAATTGTATTTTGTATAGCACAAATCATTGAATATTTAATAATAGGCTTAGACAGAAGTAAGCATGAAAAAAAATTACCAGGAAAATGTGTGGATGGTTCTTCAATAGTTGCATTTATGATACAAGAAATTTTCTTTTGACGTAACTTGTCTAATTTAAGCACACCTGCACCGGACAGATACAGATGCCCGGTTACTTCCGAAATTTGTCCCAGAAGTCCGATTCTCGACATGTAAAATAATGATAGCTTCTTCGAGAAGATGAGAATGAATATGCAAGGAATGCTAATTACTTTCGTTTTCTTACCTCAATAAAAAATTTTTTATGAAAATTTGCAAAGAGAAAAATATTTTGAAGCAGAAAATTGTAGTGCAATCACGTGGAAATTCGTGCATTATTTGGTACAGAAAAATAGGCAAATAATCAAAAAATAAATGATTTCTTTCTGAAATTGCCCAAAAAGTTTGATAACTTTAAAAATTGCTTAGAAGCGAAGTAAGGCACTGTTGAACTGAATTACACAGATATGATATAAATATTAATTACAAAAAAAAAAAACAAGTTTTGAATTAATGAAAATAATAAGGCTAAATAAGTAATGTCGTGTTATTTAATCTGTAAATTTACTTTTAAAATATGAAATGATTTTGAGGATTTAGGAAGATAGTAAAGTTAGATAAGTAATGCTATGTAATTAGTAAAAATATTACTAAAATAAAATATCAAAATATTAAAATATATTATTACTAGTAGAAAAATATAAACTTAAAGAAATTTTGAAATAAAGTTGCGAAGAATAACGTCAAAAAAAGAATGATATTTGAGGAAAAAGTTATTGGAAGTGGGAAGGAGGAGGCATGGCTGATTCAGAACAACAAGTAATACAATAAATACTCAAATAAATTCATTCTAAGTGAAAATATAAAAGTTTAAAAAAGTAACGAAAAGCAAAAATGTTAAAATCACTTTCTGCTTTTCAATTATTACAATTATTAATCATTTATTAACAGTCTTCGAACAATAAAAATGATAATTTATTTTAATTCCATCTGAAACTGTAATAGTTATTATTCAGTTAACTTAACTTTTCTATACATTCTTCTAACCATAAATCTTTTTAGCACAAACTAAAATGTAAGTTTGAATAAATATTATTGATATTACAACAAAGTTTGTATTTTACCTTCCTTCCCATCGCTTTTCATGCCATCATTTTCTATTGTATTCGCAAATACTTATTTATTTCCATTTAATGGTAATATTTTGCTGCTGTAAGAAGGAAAAGAATTGCAAAAACATACATGAATGTAGTACTTTTTTTATTAGTTTTTTTACCTAAATTGAAAAAATTATAGGTAAATAATTTTATAAATTTTAGAGGCAATTTTTGATAATTATTAAAAAATAATAGTACAAAATGAGTCTAAATCTTGCTGAAAAAATCAAAATTTAAAAATTATTTTTCAATTAAATACTGTCAAAATATTCTCTTCAAAATTTGTTTGCTAAGCACGAGTTCAACAAAAAACTGCTTAACACTGATTTTTTCACAATGTTAAACTAAAACTACGATTAATATGTTAGAATGGACAGGAACAGAAATAGAAATATGAAGTAAATGAAGAAGTAAATTTACTCGTTTGACTTCAAACAAATCTGTAATTCATTTTTTTTCAAACAGAATTGTGCTAATTTTTTATTACTAATTAGCTTTCTGATCCGTTAAATCTTTGTTAGTTATCTGAAGATGATTTTTCAAATATTATTCGTACAAAGCTTTATATCAGTGTCTTAATTAATTTAATAGCGTAAATTATCAAATAATTAGTGTAATTTATGTAATAACGAAATGTATAAATTATGTTACGTAGGAGTGTATGTAATGAATCAGAAGATAGATAGATTCATGATCTATTAATTTCTAAATTAAAACATATAACATTACACTTTCAACTTCTTCTGACATCTGATATGCTGTTACAAATTAGAATTTTTATAATAATAGCATTGAATTTTATGCTTTAAACTAAAGTTGTTTTTTTTAATAATAGCAAAAATCAAGATTAAATCAATAAAATTTCGGTATACAACCAATTATTATTAGTCAAAATTAAGTAATAAAGTTGAGTAACTTCAAGTTATTAATTACTTTAATTTAATTTCTAATAAAACATTTTCGAATAACATCAAATATCATTTTAGCACATCATAAGAAGTTTAAAGTATAAAAATGAGTCAGTGTGAACTTGCGAAGAATTATTTCACAAATCGGTGAGAAATGTTTACACTTGCAATGACACAAAACAAACACATACAAAAGAAATAAAAATTAAATACCAAAAAGTAACTAAAGTAATCTCTACGCTTTTTAGTAAAAAATATTCAGCATATTTCACAGTGAAAAGATAAAAAAAATTTCAGCATAAAACAAGAAATTATTATTATCATTTTAAAGTTTAAGTAATAAAATGCAGTAAAAACTACCAAAGTAAAAATATATTTTTTTTAATTTTAAGTATTAAAATGCAATAAAAACGTGAAATAGAGCGATGGATAGGTATGTTTGTGAGTTTCACTTTTCACAAAATAGCAAATTAATTGCTTGTTGTTGTAAATTAATGCCGAAAAAAGAAGCAGTAATAGTAAACAGTAGTAACAATAAGAAAGATTGTGAAGAAAAGTAAGTAGAATACGCAAAAATCATAAATATAAGCAGAAATAAGCAAATATTAAAAATAACAAATGAAATGATATGCCATAAATGATAACAACTTTATTAACAACAATAAATAAATAAATAATTAATTAATTAATAATGACAACTATATTGATAACAAATTAAATTAATTGCAGCAATCTATATTACACAAAATCATTAATTACTGCAAGTAATTACATAAGTATTCGAACAATTAGTGATAACATTCTACTGAAGAACAACATTTGTAGTCAAGTTGAAGTAAACAAATTCATATATTCATATTGCATTATATTTTTACGCTTCAATGATAAGTGCTCGAGTTATATGAAATGGAAAAAAATGTAACTACTAATTGTTTGCTCATCTTTATGCATACAAATATCGCAAAGCATCAAAAATATTCAAATTTTTTGAATATTCGTAAATTTAAATTGCAAATTTTTTGCGTGAAATTTAAATTTACGAAGTGTATTTAGCATTAAGTAATGAGTAAGTCTTAAAGTAATTATTTTAAGTAATGAATTGATCAGATTAAGCTTTGCTTTTAGAAATGACAGCGTCACTTACGTATATGCAAATGATTTTGTTATCAATTTTATTGTCATAAATATTGCAGAGAGTAATCATAAAGCATAACAGAGCATATAAGCTAGCTTGAAATTGGCTATTTGAAGAAAAAAAACAAACATAACAAAAAAAAATATTTATATGCATTATAGAAGAGTGAAAGGATATAAAAGCATTGCAGGCTAACAAGTAATTCAATACTTGTTATATATAGCATGCTGAGTTCAGCTTTTTTATTTTTGTGGATGTTATTTTGTAGAGCAAATATGAATAAAGTGAAGTGAGTAAATGAATTAAAAATGAAGTTGTGATTGAAGATAAATTTGAAAAAATTGTGCGTCACACATAATTTATTGCAATCATTTTTAGCAATGAATTTCAAATAGTAATCATTTTATTGCTAACTTTTGTTTTTTTAATTTATAACATTGCTATAAAAAGACAATTTAGATTGAAGAGTAAATATAATTTAAAAGATAAGAAATAAGACTTTCTTTGATTATGCATTTCAAATATATGAGAGGATAATACCATAAGATAACTTGATGCTAAACTTAAGACTAGTCATTTGCAATAGAGATAGTCTCGTGAATTGTACGTGAAGTTAATGCAAAAAATAAATAAATAGTAACGCATGCAAAAGACAAATAAAACCAAAATTGTTTTTTTCTAAATTTTGAAAAATAAAATATGGTAGTTGGAAATGCTAATTTGTTGTAAAGTTTGTTCATTTAAAGTGATTAGCATCGTGACGCAAGCTTGAAAATTGAATTTTACTTCTTACGCTAAGCAATTAAATATTGCAATTTAATTTTAATTTTTCTTACTGAAAGGTGAGAAGAATAAAAGTATTATAATTCAATAACTGATGACTTTCAAACAGACATTTATCTGCCCAAGTGATTTCTTCACAAAAATATAGATCTGACTGATCTGACTGACCTGATCTGATCTGATCTGAGATTAATTTAATACACAAATTAGCTGCGAATAATTAACAGCAAGCAGTATAGATTTGATTTTTATTATCAAACATCAATGAATTGAATTACTTTATTTTTAACGCACTTCCTTTCACATTTTCTCTTTATTTATTACTCTGTTAATTAGTCAAACAAGAATTGTTTTCTTTCAAATCCCATTTGCTTTGAAATTATTATTCCCAGGTTTAATTTCAAATTCTGAAAGCATATTTCAGAATTGAAAAAAATGAATTTAGAATTAAATACTAAATGTTTGCTAGAATTCAATTTCTGCAATTTGTAACTTATAACGATAAACAACGTAATAGATTTAAATCACACTTACATATTAATAATTAAATAACAATTTTCTAAATTAACTTTTTTAATTCAGTCATAATGTAAGGATATAAAACGGGAATAGGTAATGCATGGCTGAAAAGCTCATAATTACCGATGATTGTAATTGTTGTTTAGTGAGGAAATCAATGGACTTTTGAGAATTCAATTGTGTTTAATTGTAGCATTGTAGTGAGTAAATACACATTAATAATTAGATGAGTACTTCAGACTTTTGAAGATTCTGAAAATATTTCAAACAATGTCATTTCATTCAAAATTGTGTAATTTGTGAGAAGAGCTTTAGTTGCAATTAAAATGCTTTGTGATAAATTGAATCTGTAAATGTATGCGTGCTGCATTTCAAAGCAAAATTATGACTAATTTTCTTGAAGTAAATTTTGCTGAAATCAAAAATTCTTTACGTATATGCAATTTATAAGAAATAAATTCCAATTTCACGTTTGCTAATTTAATTTAATTAGTGAACTAATTTAAGTCTAAATTTCTAAGCAATCGCTGATATCATTCATGTCTTTACTTAATCTCTGTGTAACTGATCCAAAGCTGACTGTAATTATAAAAAAGAGTCACGTCACGTCTGAACTGCTTGAATTTTAATTCGCACCAAAGAAGGATGTAAAGTTGTAAAAAATGAATAAA